AAGGGAGATATATAATTTGGTGCTAAAGAATTTGGAGCCAGGAGGGGAGTTATAGTTCAACAATACCTTTGCCATCTACCTCACAGGTGACAGAGAGAATTACACATGAGAGTTTGTATGAAAGGATTTTTAAAAATAGAAAGTCTAAAGAAATGATATTCTATATCGTTATTAGTCTTCTCATTTCCATAGAGAGGAAATGTGCTAGATTAGGTGAAAAACTCAACTTCAACAGAGATCAGAAATGATGCTTAATAGACACACACGTAGAGCACTTTGGGATAGGTGACTAGTAACCTCCAGTGGCCCATGTGGTCTCACTTGATATATAACAAAAAGAATTCTTGGTTTACCTTAGATACTCTTTGGTAGTTCATTTTATCATAAAGAAAAGCAGCATATAATATGTGGGAAAAGCACTGGTATGGAGTGCTTTCCGCTTTCCAGGCATAAAACTTTGGAAAGGTCATTTAACCTATCTGATTCTTTTTTGTCCCTCTAAATTGTGTATATATACTCAGTTTTTTGGTATAACAAACCACCCCCAAATCACAGTGGTTTACAATAAGAATAGCATACATTTATTCTCACTCAAGATACACATCTGCCAAAGCGTGGCACAGCTGTGGCTCTATTCCAGCTATGTTCCATGTTTCATATTCCCAGACCTAAAGGATAAACCCCTCTGTGGGGCATGCCTATTATCATGGCTGAAAGAAAGGGCAAGAGAGCTGGTGGATGCCTCTTACAGCTTCTGCACAGTCCTGGCATAGGCCATGTCCATCATCATTCTACTGGCCAAAGAGAAGCACATGGCCAAGGCCGGCATCACTGGAGCAGTGAAGTGCAGTCCTCCCACAACCAGCCAGCAAGTCACATAACCCTCTTACAGGGAAGGATAGTGGTGAAAAGGAAGGGATGAGAATATGTACTTAGTGCTCCAAATCTTTGTGAGTCTCAAGTAAGGAAAGATGTTTAAAAGTGCATTGTAACCCAATGGATTCTCTCTTATTTAAGAATAGTTATTATTAACAGTTCCTTTTACTGTTACTTATTTGGAGGATCAAATCCTTACATATCATTAAAACCTATATTCTCCATTCTTACCACAAACGTTTGTAAAGTTTTTAACCATCTCAGTTGCAGTTTTTTAAAAGCTGTGTATTCATGTCTTTAAACTGTTACAAGTACAGTCATTTATGTTCTCTGTTATAACTATATTAAACCCCTTTAGGAAACGTCTTGGGCACCCAGAAAGTTTTTGACATTTTTTCCCCGGATGATTAAAAGTGACAAAATTCTCTTATAGGAAATTTGGAAAATGTTGTTAGGATGAGGAAGAAATTAAAAACACCAGTATTCAAATCCCTGTGTTAATACACACATACAGATATACACAAATATTAATTTTTACTAAATTAGACAGCTAATGAATATACTCTTTGGCAGTGTTTTTCCACATTACTGTATGTTGTTAACATGCATTTTTTCTGACTATGAAATATTTTGGGGAACATGAATTTAACATTTCAATATATAATACTAATGTATTTAATATGCAATCATATAGAATTATAAAATCCAGTAATAAAGCGATCACTTATGAAACCACTACCCAACTTGAGAACTAGACCATTACAACATCCTGGAAGTTACCTATGTGCTGCTCTGCGGCTGCCCCTTCCCACCTTTAGGTAACAACTGTCCCCTGGTTTGTGTACTGTCATTAGCTGCTGCTGCCTCTTCTTCTTCGTGTTTGTGTGTGTGTGTGTGTGTGTGTTTTCACATATGTGTGTATCTCCAAATAGTGTGTATCCTTGAGTTTTACTTTGAGCTTTATAAAAACGGTATCATACCCCATTATTTTTAGGGATGAAATGAACATTACAAAATTAGTTGAAATTGTCCTCTACTGTTAGATAGAGAGTCTTCTGCTGTTTTACACAGAACTTGTACATTGATCTTTGTGTGTATCCCCAATTATTTCCTTGGAAATAATTTCTAGAGGTGAAATTGCTGGGTTAAAGGGTAAGAACACTTTTAAAGCTTATATAAAAATAGCTGTACATCAGGAAGTGTGTCCACTTAGAAGATTTTAATGAAACAAACATTCAGATTTGCCTGATGGATAATTATAAATCATTACTAGCTTTCCACTTTGAAAGGCAATAAGAATACACAGTGTTCCAGTGGCTTATCAAATTAAAAAGTGCAAAACCAAATTCCTCAATAATTCAGACTCCCTGAAATCTACTCTGTTCTTGTCACACTGTGATATTACTATCCTCTCAGTTCCTCAGACTAGAAACCTTACAAACATCTTCTCTCTACTGGCCCACCTCCACTTCAGCCACCCCTCACTTCCCCTTAGTCAATAATCAAGTGCTGCTAGTCTGTGTCTGCAATGTCCCTCGAATCCATCCTTTCCCTTCCATTCTTACAAGCGCTGCTCTAATTAACCCCTGCTAATCTGTCATGTGGACCGTGACACAACCTCCTAACTGGTCTGCTATCTGTCTTCAGTCTCTTGCCTTTCTAATCAGTCCTTCACTCTGTACTTTCCCAAAACACAGACTTGTCTTTAAAACTGAAACCAAAAGTCGTTGATAGCTCTCCATTATCTACAGGATAAAATCCACACTCCTTAATTAAAGCCCTTGATCTAATTCAACCTACCTCTCCAGCTTTGTTTCCTTGTGATTCACCTTCCACACCCCACCCCAAGAACTTTTTGTGTTATATTCTAGCCAGCCTAGGCTGCCTGTTCCCTATATACTTTCCTGTTTTTCTTTGTTCTTGTTACTCCCTCAGCCTAAAATACCCTTACTCTCCCCCTCCTTTCCAGTGTGTTGAAATGCTACTCATGCTTCAAGGTGCCACTGAAATGCCAGCTCCTCCGTGGAGCTTACCATCAATGTAAATTATCATAGTTATACTTCTTAGATGAGTCAGGCATGTTTTCTTCTCTCAAAGTACTTTGGATATCAAAACATGAAAAAAATACATTTTTTACATTTGCTGGATAGAAAATAATGCTGCGTAGAAAAAGCAGAACACAAACTATTTTAAACACATCAATTACAATAAATTTTAAAACTATATAATATATGTATAGATATATATATATGTGTGTATGTTTATACATTTATATATGTATATATACACACATATACATATATATCGATTGACAGAGACAGAGACCGATAGGAATACTTGAGTTTGGTGTTTATTAAGCTTCTAAAAGTCTTTTTGGAATCAGGCAGGATGAGTACTTCTTTAAAAGATTAACATAATGATACTTGTTAGGTTTATTATCTTTCATAAAGATGCTTGCTTGGGCTTAAGCAGGTTTCCATTTTGAAGCTTAACCATATTAGGTCTCGTCACAGGAGGCCAGCCAGTTGCTTCTCCTTCCTGTTTCAGTGCTCACTGGCTGAACTGGAGGGGCCTGTTTCCTGGCCGCATCTGTCTAGCCGTAGTCACAGGTGGTGAACAGTCCCCTCAACTGCAAAATGAAGGCATTTTTCTAGATGACTGTTAGACGGATGAGTAGGTGATCTTCAAGGTCCTTTCCACGCTCTGTATTCTGAGATACTTTCCGCTCATGAGACAGAAAAATGCTTAAGGACAAAGGAAAGTGCTGTTTGTTCTCTGCTCTAGCTCTTTCACTGGTGTCACGCAGCCAATTCCTCCTTTTATTAACTCTGAACTGCCAAAAGGTACTGCATGGGAATTAGTGCATTTGGCTTCTGATCCAGGTGTACCACCACCTCTGTGGCCTTGGGTGTGCCCCTTTCTGTCGCTGGGCCTCTGTTTGCCTATCTCTGCAATGATGAAGGTCAGGCTAGATATTCTTTGAGGTTCTTTGCAGCTGTAATGTAATTGTATAACTGGTATGTGTGAAGTACCCAAGGATTTTTTTACCCTATGGTCACTGGCCCACGTTGCAAAGTTAAGAAGTCAGTAGAATGGGATTATTCACAAAATTGTTTTTCCTTCACTAAATAGTGTAGATAGCAAAGTGGAGCGTCAGGGCATGCAAGCAGATGTGTGTGATTGAGGGATATCCTGGCTCCATCACTTACTCCAACTCACCTTAATATATTTTCTCTTCTGATGAGTATTTCTCAAGTCTTAAAATTGTTACCTTTAGTAATGTAAACCAAAACATTTTGAGGATCTTTTGTAGGAAATTAAAATGTTAGATTAGAGAGTTCAAATATGCACACAGGGCTTCCCTGGTGGCGCAGTGGTTGAGAGTCCGCCTGCCGTTGTAGGGGACACGGGTTCGTGCCCTGGTCAGGGAAGATCCCACATGCTGCGGAGCGGCTGGGCCCGTGAGCCATGGCCACTGAGCCTGCGCGTCCGGAGCCTGTGCTCCGCAACGGGAGGGGCCGCAGCAGTGAGAGGCCCGCGTACCGAAAAAAAAAAAAAAAATATATATATATATATATATATATATATATATATGCACACAAATTCAGATCGGTCTAGCAGTAGTACAATACATCTCAAATATATGAACTCTAACTATCATTACAGACTTCCTTTCTTAAGAAAGAGATTCCAAAGTCCAAAGAAGCGTCCCACTTTAATTTCAAGGGACAAGCTAATATTTGATATATGTTACTTGATTCCAGAGTTGCTTCTGGCAAACATAATTGTTACTGTTTAAACAGGTATTTTTTTCTAGCAATTAGAATTTTTTTCATTTTGATGGGTAGTCATAACTATTAACCACCAGCAGTGCAGGGATAATTTACATTCAAATTGTGAGACATCACTCTGTGAATACATAAAATAATTTAGATTTATTTAGAACCTTTTATCGTAAAGTGCTCTACACACATTTCTTTACAATCTGATTGCAAGCTATATATAGGACTCTCCTACCTGAAATAGGGCAGCAACCAAAGTAATTAAAATAAAGGATACAACTTCAAAAAAGTAGTGGAAATGTAGTATGTTTTACTCGTTCCTGTATGCTCTTATGCCTATAGGATTGGAGAATCCATGTTGACCAAATGCACCAGCACAAAAGTGGAATTGAATCTGCTCTAAAGGAGACCAAGGTATGTGAATTACTTCAGATGAGTACATGAGTACATTTACTCATCTGTGTAATACCTATTAAGAGAGAACATGAAAGGAAAAAAGACCCAATCCTTGCCCTTGAGGAGTTTCCTGATTGAATGTACCATATTATGTTTCAACAGCCCTAACACTTAAACCAACTAAAGAAAGGTAACTGTATAAAAGCAATATGATATATACCTAGTATATTATTACATACTCTAGATATATAGGTTAGGCACATTAGAATCATTTCATCATTCTTTCCGCACTGAATCTCAGGGGATAACAGCATCAGCCCAGCAACGCCTAGAACCTACAGCTTCCCAGGCTTGCTGCCCTGCCAGAAATAGGGACTTTTGGAGAATACCACAAAGAAGCAAAGCTGGAGTAAGAAGTTATGGGTCCCAGCCTAGAACTATAAGTTTAATGATCTACTTCCAACTGGAATATTCCAGTCATCTTTGAATTGTGCTATAAGAAAATTGTGTTATTCCCTTACCTACTTTGATTGTGGACTTTATATAAAGCACATTCCACTCACATATATTTTAGATTTGCGTAAGGACAAATAAATTGACTAACACTACCAGGTGCTTTTTTATTTTAACATTCTGCAAAGTGTGACTAAAATAATTTTCATTACAGACTTTTTTGTTGCTGAAAATTTCAAACTACTTTTTCATTGGTGGTTGAGAATTTGTGAGATGAATTGAGGGAGATTTAACCCATTTAAAACTACTTTTGAAGAATATATTTGTGAATTCTCTGTCTACTAAAATTTCTAGGGACTTTTGGACAAACTTCATAGTGAAATTAGCAGGACTCTGGAGAAGATTGGCAGCCGGGAAAAGTACATCAACAATCAGCTTGAGCACTTGGTTCAGGAATATCGTGCAGCTCAAGCCCAGCTGAGTGAGGTAACTGAGGAATGATATCCAGGGTTCATTCCAATTAATGACCCTAATCCCTAAACTTGACACAGCACTTTTTTTTTTTTTAAGTTTTTGGCCTCACCCCACTGCATGTGGGATCTGATTTCCCCGACCAGGGATTGAACCTGCGCCTCCTGCACTGGAAGGCAGAATCTTAATCACTGGACCGCCAGGGAAGTCCCGACACAGGACCTTTCATTTGAGAATCATGAAATACTTTTCACAAACAGCAGCACATTGATTCTCTGCCCACTTTAGGAAGCAAATACAACTTGTCATCTCCATTTTACATGTGATAGAAATTATCTCCTAGAAGTCTTTAAATGTATTTCTTCATTTGATTTAAGTAAAAGAAGTCATATTGCTGAGAAACATGGCTTAGAACAGGAACAGAGTGTCAGGACACCTGGTTTTGTTTCTAAGTCTGCTGTTAATTTACTGTCTGAGTAGGAGGAAGTGGAATAGTATGCATTTACATGTGTCAGGGAGAAAAGACATCCTTGCCATTGTGGCTTACAACCACATAATAAGGAATATGAAAGCAAGACACGTTCGAAGGCAAGCAGTTTAATTAAATGAGCAAATTTTTTAATCTTTTCAAAGTTTTAGAAATTCTACCAAAATAAAATAAAACCTTCAGCCTTTGAAAGCAGCAGTGCTTTGTTCCAACAGTAGGGATCTAAAGGCTTTCCTTTGGGATTTATGCCCCCTCTTCCCTGATGTTGAGGAAGACTACTAATGTCTTCCTCAACAACTGCGAATGTCAGTTGAAGGCATATTTTTTTCTTTCAGCAGACAAGGTTAGAAGGAGAAAAAAATGGAAATAAACTTGAGATACTTCCATACTTTCAGAAGTTCTCAAAGACCAAGCAGAAAGTAACCTTCACTGTTTTATTATTTGTTTAATTAGTTATTCACACATATACACGTCTATTTGCAAATGTTTTTACTTCTAAAATGCTATAAAAAGTCTCTGATTAAAGCCACCCTGTATCTCTCAAACATTGATATTAAATAATTGATTAAGTTCGTTCCCAAGGACATATTCCATATTGTCATACTGTTTGTTAATCCTTATTACTTACTGACTCTGATGCTGTATTATGATTTATTTTTTAGAACATGTTTTCTCTGCATAGCACGCAGATTAGATCGACCAAGAGCCGTTGTCTAAACTGTTTAGGAGTGGCTGAGGACAGTTTTTATTGTGAACCATGCCCCTGTGAGTTACACAATTATTATATGAAGGTTAAGGTAGTTCATCGTTGTATAGGGCTCTTGTTAAATACATGGTGCCTATGAGGGACATAAAATAGCTACCGTTAAAATGTCACTTTTCACAATAGTATTCACAAACAAGGAGGGGCGTTGTCATAAAATGATATGCAAAAATTACAAACACAACGAGGTCATATTTAAGTCATGGGCTTCTGTTTTGAACTTGCCATTAAACAAAATGTTTTCTCCCTCAGGCAAGGGAGCGTTACCAGCAGGGAAACGGTGGAGTAACTGAAAGGACCAGACTCCTGTCTGAGGTACATACTGTGTGCTCCTGCCAGATTCTCACCTGTCAGCGGGGTACCATGGTTCAGAGCCATGAATGGTTTAATCTGCTACTGCCGTGGGTTGTTTCCTCTAGTAATTGCCTCCTGTGGCTCTTAAATCCTTTCCTTCAGGAGAAAATCCCTAAATTGTCTTATCAGTGAATCAATTACCTATTTATATACTACTTGTTTCCACAAAAATGCCTGAAGTTGTTTTACTAAATGTAACATAACACATGCTCATAATATTAGCACATTTATAATCTTCCTTAATCTTTTTTAAAACATAATTGTAATTAATATATAGAAGAGTAGGTAAAGCATTGACTTAAATGTCTTATAATAAATTTTAATGTTAGTCTTTAAGATATAAGATTTGTTTTTAGTGCTTGTTGTTAGTAACTTGTGTGTGATCCTGCGTATTTCTCTGTCCACAAATTGGGAATGGCTTGTAACCCTTTCCCTTCTAAAAACTTATGGAATATTTACATATAGTGTATTTATTTTCATCATCTTGCAGGAGATGTAAGACCTAACATATAACATACTACATGAATTATATTAGTAATACATATATATTATATATTAGATCTTACCCATGTATATTTATATATGCATATTAATAATATATACTCCCATTTTTCACTGAAGAGCTGAGAGGAAAAAAAACCTTACAACAAGGTCAGTAGCCAATATGGGACTAAAGTCCAAGATTATCTTTGGATACAATCAAGTATAATTGTCACAAACTTTTCTGTATAATAGAATTAAGCTTCTTTTATGGAGATTATTTGAAGAGTAAATAGTTATTTTAAAATACTAAAAATATAACTTTAGAAATATTTAGACTCTAACCCCGTGGTGCTTCTAGGCAGATAAAACATTATACAGAAGTAAAGTGCTCACTTATGTTAGGTAAATTAACACTTGAAGGGAGTCCAGGGAACCATTTAGTTCTTTTGGAGTATGTAGTTATCCCCAGTTGTAACATTTCAGGTGCCTGAAAGAAGTTAATTTGCTTTTACTTGGATGAGCACTTTATTCCCAAGGAAGTTTTTACTCACCAGCATGATAAAAATAAAGCCTACTAAGTTACGATTATGGTTTCATTCTAGATCATATCAAAATTTTTCAATTTTTAAAAGATATTTTCTACCTACATTTATGCTAGTTTGGAATTTATAGAGGCTATAGGAGTATAATTTTGAGTATGATATAGAGTACAGATTAGAGCCAATATAACAGCCCAGTGTGCCTCTTGGAGTTCATGGATTAGATAAAGTAAAGCAGTTAGAATATTTTTATATATACCCATATGGTATAAACGTTATTTTTAGTGTCCTGTAGAGGAAAAGGTGGCATATTCTCTTATAAAACTGTAATATTAAAGATACGTAGTAAACTTCTAGAAATTTAAAATCTTTTTAGGATGTTTGTGCTGTTTTAGTTAATAACTGATCATTAGAGACTGGCATGGTAGATGCTATGAGATAACTGCAAAGCTTGAGTGCTTGATGCCTAAAAAAACAACTTGATCGTTTTTATTCTATCATGTTACAACCTGAGACAGTCAATAAAAGAATAATTTGGTGAAGTTTAACAATAGGAGCACTCTCAGAAGATAAAAAGCTTTTCATGTCTGCATACTTTATTATTCAAATTATGTCCAGAATACTGCTAATATCTTTGTATCCCTTTATGTATGTATTATATCTGAATTAATTTTTTAATACATCATACAAAAATTTTGAAAGTTTATTAAAATACAGTGCTCATGAAAACTTTTGTTTTCAATGAAAGGTTACAGAAGAGCTAGAAAAGGTAAAACAAGAAATGGAAGAAAAAGGCAGCAGTATGACTGATGGTGGTAAGTACACACTCATTTTAAGAAGAAAATGAGCAAAAGAAGAATATATCTTTAAGAAATCTATTTTTTAAAGAGGTATTAATAAATAGGAAGGCTGCTTTTTAAAATGAATTTGTTTGAAGGGGAGGTACATGGTGCAAAAATGAGGTCTGATAATCAGTATACTGTTTTCCTTATAAATGAACTGAGAAGAGTCATAATTTTTTTTACTATCATTTAGGATTTTTAAAAAAATTCAAACTGTATTAATTCAGAAATAGAGTAGGAGATAGTTAAATATGCACTTTGTTATGCCAGTTTAAAAAAATAATATTTTGTTCTGTTTTCATCAAATGAGCTTCATTATTCCATTTTATGTACAAAAAAAGCACTAAGTGTACGCCCAAACAGCGCAAAGGTGGTGATGTGATGACCTTTTTTTCCCCTCTTCCCTGGGGAAGGGTCAAAGACTGGGCAAGGGTCAAATAGAGAAGAATTAATAATCCTGCAGTAATCATCCTCTGTTGTGAGCTAGTTACTTTGACATGGCCCAGTGGTGATTGCCTAAGGCCCTTCGTTGCTCTAGAAAGATTTTCTAGAGTTCTAACAGAATATACTGAGTGATCTTTCAGAAGGTGATGTATAGGGGGTTTGTAGAATGTTTGAATGAGCCATTAGCTATGTCTTAAAGGTAGTTCTTCCTTCTCTTTTTCTTCCATTGTATCCCCTTTTCCTTTAGATAAATATACTAGCCCCTTAAAAAATATTGAAGACGTTCTTGGGCTTCCCTGGTGGCGCAGTGGTTGAGAGTCCGCCTGCCGATGCAGGGGATATGGGTTCGTGCCCCGGTCCGGGAAGATCCCTCATGCCACAGAGCGGCTAGGCCCGTGAGCCATGGACGCTGAGCCTGTGCGTCCGGAGCCTGTTGCTCCGTAACGGGAGAGGCCATAACAGTGAGAGGCCCGCGTACCGCAAAAAAAAAAAAAAAAAAGTGTGTGTGTATATATATATATATATATATACATATATAGAAGACATTCTTAAACACACCTTTAGCAACTCTTCCTCTAGAAAAGAAAGGAAGTTCAGCCTCAGTACCTCAAATGCTGCATCATTTCCCAGCCTAGAAATCTCAGGTGTTTAAAATGCCACAGCAAAACTGTGTGAATGTCAGTAAATTGTTGGCTGTGTTTTTAACCCCACTTTTGGCTTAAGACAAAGTGAGGAAAATGTCATACCATTTTGTAATACACTGATACTCCAAATGAACATTTTTATTCCATGTTATTTTCATTCTGCAGCTCCTTTGGTGAAGATTAAACAGAGCTTAACGAAGCTAAAGCAAGAAACTATTCAGATGGACATTAGAATCGGTGTTGTGGAACACACATTACTCCAGTCAAAACTGAAGGAGAAGTCCAACATGACCAGGGACATGCATGCCACAATCATTCCAGAATCTGCAATAGGCTCTTATTAAAACATATCGTTTTTCAGGCTTCTGATTAGTTTTTTTATATCAAATCATATTTCATGTTGCATAGACTTCAAAACACAGTTATTCCTTTAAAAGCATGTTGAACGGGTATTTTTTACATATATACACACATATTGTATGTGTGTATACATACAATGATGATTATGGATGGTCAAAGCCTTTGAATTGAATATAATATTTAATAAAGTAATGAAAAATTCTCACTTTCAAAGAAGCTTTCACTAATCATTACATGTGTTAAAGCCCCCACCTGGTGGCTCACTGTCCTTATGGTTCCGTGCACTTGAGGAAGAGGTACATGATGCCAAATGTGTAGGACCCGTGCTTTCTGCAGGTGCTGCCGCTGCTGTCAGCACATGGACCTTTGACATAAGCCTGGCCCCTTCCACTGGATCCACACACAAGTACTTCTGCACCCAGAGGCAGCACCCAGTGATGGCTGGGGATTCTTTCCAAGAACCCAAACTACCCTTGCCTCAGCTTTATGGTTACCTAAAATTACATTTTTTTAAAAAGAAAGCATCAGAAAAATCTTCAGTATCTTTATTAACATTTGAAGTTTATTATTTATCACAAGCATTTCATGACTAAACTGATTTTATATCTTCTATGATCTAAGGCCACCTAATAAAAAATAAACATTTCAGTCGTGTTTGGCTTTGCTCCTATAGTGATGAAAATGTATATACATTTCTCAGTTCTACTTTTTTCTATGGTATCAGCTATACTAAGGAATCATGTTGTAGCAGAAGGAGAGACAGCAAGTCATGTCAAGATCAACCTCCTGATGCTGGTGATCTTTACTTACACGTATTACTGAGCAACTTTCTAGTCTGGGATTTCTAAATTGGTGAAATAAGTAATATTAGAGTGACCAACTTGGAACTGGGGGAAACTGGTGAGATGCACTCAAACCACAAGATAGTCCACATTTATTTTTTGAAAAGAAGGGGAAAATAAATTTACCATGTGATAAATTTTGATAAGAATACATATATATACAACAAAAATAATAAAATCCCTTTCTCATTTTTATCTTAATATTTTATCCCCACCCCAATTTCTTTTTTTAGCCATTACCTTCTAGATATATACCCTCACACACACAAATCTTTTTCTTTCCTTCATACTCTCTCTAGTTCAAGACTGAGTTTAGATAAAAGAAAATCAGTATGTGTAAACTATTACACAAGAGGGTGGCAATCGATACAATGGCAAAGTCAGTTTATTTAATTTGGGATAACAGGCAGTTTGAAAAAGTCCAAAATTTTTCCCTTCCTGTATGGTCAGAGGAAGGGGCAGAATAGAAAGTGTGAAACCTAACCTTTGGACCCACAAACTAACAGTGATTCCCGTGGAACTTATTTGCATAGGTATTGTCAGGGCTGAGTAGTTTTGTGATGAATTCAATCGATGCAGAGAACCCTTCTAGATAAATCAGAGCTCTCCACAAAATGTACTTTTGCTTGGAAGCAAAGTGCACTCTTCGTTTCATGCAAATTCAGTAATCTAAGAACTCTTCCAATAACTACTGTAAGCAACCTATTTTTACGTCCTTTGAAATAACCCAGTTTACTCGGGTTGGGTTGGGGGGCCCTCCTCTCTGTTTCCATAGAGCACTGTGAATAACTCTAATACAGAACTTATTGTACTATATTGTAATTATTTTTTCCTCAACTGTCTCTAGTAGATTGAGCTGCTTGAGGACAAGGAGAAAGTCTTTTTCATTTCCATATTCCTAGCCAAGTCCTAGCACATAGGGTATGACTTAGTAAGTGAATGGGTAGATGACTGGAATTATGCAGTTCCAGAATATCTCGTAGCTGCTATTCTACAGCAGGTGAATTTAATGTCTTCAAGTCTATGAGATTTGACACAGTTTCAAGATAGTAATTATAAATGGTGGGTCCAGGACTGGAATTGGCAGCATCAGTATGAACTCATAGGTTTTTCATACATATAGATGAATAGAAAATATAAATATTTATAGATACAGATATGCATATACACATATACATGTATTTACTAGTTCTGTCCTCTAAGAGGGTCTAGAAGCAGTGACAGCCCAAAAACAATGAGAATACCTAACACATCCTGGTTTCTAAATTTTCTACTTAAAGAAAAAAACCCAACAAACACACCCAGACTTCTTAGAAAAACAACTGATTCCTGGGCTGGGGCAGGGAAAGCACAAGATAAGCCTGGAATACCTTGCTCTGCCAGATAGTAAGGACGTGCTCAGAGAACGATGGGGATATGACTAAAGGACACAGATTGAGGGGTATCCCACCAGCCAATCTGAGATAATTGAGTGTCAAAACAAATAATTATAGTAATAAATTATAACCCACAGAATGAAACAAGAAACCACAAGTCCATACAGATAGAGATAAATGAATCAACAGCAGAAGAGAAGGGTCTTCCTTACAATAGAATGACAGTTAAAGTAAAAGGAATACTGCGTTTAGAAATCACCATCTGGAAACTACCATGCAGGAATATCTCAGAGACACTGCAGGTTCAATTCCAGGCTACCACAATAAAGTGAATATCACAATTAAGTAAGTAACATGAATTTTTCAGTTTCCCATGCATGTAAAAGTTATGTTTACAATATACTGTAGTCTATTAACTGTGCAATAACATTGTCTTTAAAAAACAATGTACATATTTTAATTACAAAATACTTTATTGTTAAAAAATGCTAACCATCATCTGAGGTTTAGTGAGTCATAGTCATAGTAGTAGCAACAAAGATCACCAATCATATAATAATATAATAATAATTAATAATAAAGTGAAATATTGCAATAATTACCAAAATCGGACACAGAGAATAAAATGAGCAAATGGAAAAATGGCACCCATATTTCTGGTAATTTGAGCTTGCCTCAATTTACCTCTTTATTTAGGGTGACAGATGCTAAAACTCGTAGGTGAAAGTTTAATGAAAAACTGAATATTTACATAATCTCAAAGCCTATAAGATATTACATGAAAAGAAAAATTGTAACTTTATGGTAGAGAAACCTGGCAGATATCAGTTTAAGTGATCAAAAGTTAACCTTACTAGTAGTGGAACAAATAGCCATCATGTGTCTCTCCTGAAAAGAGCACACATTCTTGAAAATGTATGACTTGAATCTAGTCATGAGGAAACATTAGACAATCCAATGGAGGGACACTGTTCAAAATGGCCTGTGTTCTTCAAAAATGATAGCGTCATGAGCTCAAAGACTGAGGAACTGCTCTAAATTAAAGGAGGTGAAAGAGACATAATTAAATGCAACAAGTGATTCCAGACTGGATCCTGGGCCAGGAAAAAACAAAACAAAACTTTGTTTGTTAGAAAAGGACTTTTTTTTTTTTTTTGGCTGCATTGGGTCTTTGTTACTACGCGCAGTCTTTCTCTAGTTGCGGCGAGCAGAGGCTACTCTTCGTTTCAGTGCGCAGGCTTCTCATCGCAGTGGGCGGGCTACTCATTGTGGTGGCTTCTCTTGTTGCGGAGCACGGGCTCTAGGCGCACGGGCTTCAGTAGTTGTGGCTCGCGGGCTCCAGAGCGCAGCCTCAGTAGTTGTGGCACACAGGCTTAGTTGCTCCACGGCATGTGGGAATCTTCCCGGACCCGGGCTCAAACCTGTGTCCCCTGAATTGGCAAGCGGATTCTTAACCACTGCACCACCAGGAAAGTCCCAGAAAAGGACATTATTGAGACAGGTAAAATTCAAGTAAGGTCTGTAGACTGGATAATAGTATTAAATCAATGTTAATTTTTTGATATTTGTACTGTGGTTATATAAAGGGATATCCTTGTTTTTAGCAATACACACAAGTCTTTGGAGGTAAAGGAGCATCATGTCAGCAACTTGCTCTCAAATGGTTCAGGGAAAAAAATGTACATATACATATGTGTGTGTTTGTATATTCACACACATATAGAGAGAAAGGGAGAATGATTTTTAAAATGTGAACCGTTAACATTTTGGGGAATTTGAGAGAAGAATATATAGAAATCCATTGTACATTTTTTACAACTTTTCTATAAATCTGAAATTATTACAAAATACAAAGGTTAAAAAAAATGATGTTTCTTGGAAATGATATGCTTTATACAGAATTTAGTCCCCCTCTGAATCAAATAGACAATCAACTGTGTAAATCATATAACCTCTCCAATAAAATTATATGGCCTGGTGAACATGTCTTAAGCTTATATAATCATTTACTCACTGACCAAGTAGGAACAATTTTTTGACACCTCTAAGGAAGTTTTTCTCTACTGCCCTCTTAATTTATCTAGGTCAGCATTTCCCATGAGTTTAAACAAAAGCAAAATTCTCTGTAACCAGTAAATTTGAGAAACGTGAAACAAGTTTCATTTTCTTCAGGACTTCTCATCTACATTGTGAATCTGCAAGCAACAAATGTAATTCCTTCTTTTTGCAAATATGTAATCACAGACACTGTTCACTCAGAACATGCTTTAAGAATGCAGATTTAATTAAATGGGTATGTGAAAATCAGTATACAAATCTGAGATTATTTTCCAACCTTTTATTAGAACTGGTGGACCTGTGTAGGAATATGAGAAAACATGTAATTCTGATTCAAAGCTCTGCTGCGTGGATGGTTAACAAGCATGGGATGGATGCTCTCGGAATGTCAGTAGACTGAGGATTTGGGAAACTTTGTAGAGAACATGGGATTAAATGGCCAAGTGCTTTTCTTCTTAAAACTCTTCTCTGCCAGCCCAAAAGGCTTTTTGTGTTTTCTTTAGTCTTCATTATAACAATGCAATTATAGTAGTTAGAAAGGACCCCTCTACTTTGTGATCAAATAGCAACCATTGTCAAAGCATTACCTTTTTAAAACTGAGTGTGCCCAACAGCCAGGTCGTAATTCCTAAAACTTTATATTTGAAGAGGTGTAATGGCATTTCTAAAGGGTAAAAACAATTTGGGGTTCACTAGTTGTTGTTGTTGCTGTTGTTTGACAAGTCTTTTTAAAAATACAGGGAAGAGAAGGGCAAGAACCATGCTCATCTTAATATGTTCTAAATAGCAGGTCTCAAGCATTGGATTTCCATAATTGGGTGCTGTTGATACAGACATGCAAAGTTCAAACCTGTGATTTGCTGACTTACCATCAGTGCTTTATTTTAGGCCCACCTTGGTCCCCTCCATACTTTGTCCTTGCATTGCTAAGTACTAC